TATTCAGTACTATTATACGTATTGGTTTGAAGTACTAGAATATCTTCAATTCCATAAAATAACCTAAGAATGGAGTGATCTGCTGAACTGTTCATTCCATCATTGTTTATGAAGGATGTAGTTTCTAATTTTGTCACCAAATTGTTTATTTGGTTTTTTGCTTCTTTGTTTAAGTCAATATTTATTATAGAACCTAAATTGTCTATTTTAGATTCTATAGACTCAACTTTGGTTTCTAGATAATTTTGATTTATTTTTTGATTTTTATCTAATTTAGAAAACCAAGAACACATAATATCAATAATATTATTTAAAATAGAACACACACTATTCATATTTGTAGATTCTTTAGTAATATGCAAACTATGGTCATATTTATTATTAACATTATTTTTTGTATTTTCAAAGCATATTATATATTCAGGGTTAATTGCCATTATAGATTGTTGTTGATACCTAAGACCCTCCTATTGTATTTATCTGGTGCCTAAAACCTCTCTTTATAATTTTGAAGACTTAAAAATGCCTAATTATGGCTACTTGTCAAAAGATCTTAATGAGTATATGGACTTTGACATACACTAAACATATAGGTTTATAGTACTTGCTGCATTTTTTTGAGAGAGAAGGTGGTTGGCAACCTGGCAGGCCATATCCTGCCTTTGTTTATTTATATTTATAAATCATACTATCATGACACGTAATTTTTAAAATAATTATAATATGTGTGTTTGGTTTAAGTTTTTTGGATTAAATTTTTTGAAAATTAAGATTTTTTATTTTTCGTATTTTTTTGTTTTTAGTGAATATTTTTAAAATTTTAAGCTTTTTTTTTTTACTTTTTTAGATGCACCTTACTTAAATGTATCTAAAAAGTAAAAAAAATGTGAAAAAATATTTTAAAAAATTAATAAATACATAAAAATATAAAAAATATACTGAATTCTCGTTTTTTTGTTTTTTGGTATTTAGTGAATTTTTAAAAGACTTTTTCACAAAAATTATACTTTTTATGTGTATTTATGTTAGGTGTGTCTAAAAATTTTAAAAATTACTTAAAATATTAAAAAAATTCAGTTAAAACAAAAAAAAAATATGAAAAACAATAAAGTAGAATTTTCTGAAAAGTGTTTTTAGAAAACCAAAAACAAGCAAAGTATTTTTATTATATATATTTATATGGCTTTTTAGCTTTTTTGGCTATTTGAGCCTGGGCTCAAAATCTTGGTTTGGGAAGGGCTTTTTGGCTTTTTGCCTTTTTTAACTTTTTTTGTGATAGAAGAGTATAATGATTATGGGTTGGATGTGATGTTTTGTCTGTTGTGGCTCAAAAAGCCTATTCTGTCTTTTGTGGCTCAAAGAGCCAAAAGAGCCCAAATGAGCTCTTCCCAAACGGCACGTGAATGGATTTCATATCTTTATCTCTCCATACTTGTTTATACCTCTCTTGTAGGTCCCAATTCTAATCCGCACCGATGATCCAAATTGTTTATGTCGTAAGTTTTGTAATAAAGGTCATCCATGTAAAAAATGAGTTTTATCGAAAAATTAGAAACTTAAGAAAAAATCGCATTTTATTTGATAAAATGAACAACAAATGTGATGGTGAACTCAAGCCATCTATTTTATAAAATAAAAAAAATTTCATTCTTGTATTTATAATTTTTCGATGAAACTCATTGTTTACATAGATGACTTTTATTCCGAAACTTACAAGATAGACAGTTCAAATCATTGGTGCAGATCTGAATTGGAACCTACAAGAAGGGTATAGAGAGGTATGAAGAGATTAAGATATGGAGGGGAGCCTATCACCTTTACCTTAACTACACGATTGGAGCACACAATTACTCTTTAAACTAACAAATACTTAACACATATAAATATGCCCCACCTTTTACATTTTTTTGTCATATAACATATTTTAAAACACAAATTTAACTACACCACTGGAGATGCTCCCAGGAAGCAAGGGTTAAATAGGAAATAGAGCCTTCGCTTGGCATGCCAAACTTTTTGGCTTTTTGACTATTTTAGTCACAAAAATACAAAATAGGTTTTGTAGCCCAATAAGGCAAAACATCACATTCAAACCATAATCATTTTATTTTTTCTTTCACAAAAGTTTAAAAAGCCAAAAAACCTATCCCAAACGAGGCTTTTTAGCCCTAGGCTAAAATAGCTAAAAGCCAAAAAAACTAAAAAGCCAACCCATATCTCAAACGAACCCAAAATAAAGTAAATTGATAACCTCAACAAGAGTGGTTATTTGGGATGTGTTATATAAATGCACTTTTTGAATATGTGGTTAAAAAGTAGAGAAAAAAAGATAGATGTTTGGGATAACTTTTTAACTTTTTACGAAAGGATGTGTAATAAAATATTATAGTAAAATTAAAATGACCATTTCACCCTTTTGACTTTTTTACTTTTATTTTTTTGACTTTTTGAGTAGTTGAATTCAAAGGGCAAAATAATAAATTATTATTTTACCCTAGTGACTTCCCCACAAGCTACCGTCGAATAGTATAAGATTTTTATTTATTTTAATAATTTTTTGACTTTTTAACTTTTTTTTAATTTATCCCAAACAACTTAGGTTGTCAGTTAACATAAGGGGCATTTGCCATTCAAGAAAAAAGTTTGGTATAATTTTTGAAACCTGAGGGAAGATTTTTGTAATTGTCACTAGCCTCAGGTTAGTGTAATTTACCCTAAACAAATAAATAAATATGAAGTTGGATTGTCGACTCTTCTCAAAAAATGAGGTTAGGTTAATCCAAACTTGTATACGCCGCTAGCTACCTCTCTGGTGGATTGTCGACTCTTCTCCCTCGTAAACAACAGAACTCATATTCGAACTTTCTGGTTAGTTTTCTCACTTTCTATTCTCCTTCAACTCTTCCTCTTTTTCTTCGATTTTGTGTTTTTGGTTCCTCTTCTATTGGATTCTCTATCTTTCTTTCTTTTTTTCATCTTCGTAAATATCTAGGTAATTAGTAACTAACTGCGCTTTACTTGTGAATTTGTAATCATTTGCTTCTTGATGTATACGATCAAAATTATATAAAATAAAATAAAACTAGTAAATTTAAATTATAGGAAGACAAAAAAAGAAGAAGAAAAAACAATTAGATATTAGGGTACATAAGCTGGTGTATTAATTTCATTGTTTTTTTGGGTAATTAAGTCATATCATTTATTTCATTGTTACTTTCATAATCTTGATGTTTTTCTAGTTGTCATTTGATTAATTGATTTTCACACATGCAGTTATTTTATATGTTATATACTTGAAGTGATAGATTTGCAAGTGCTTGAATTGAAAGATTTTTATAAATAATATAAAAAAAATTATGGGCGTACTCAAGCTATTCCCGTATCTTATTTCTTTAAGGTTTTGCCATATCACCGTACCCATAACGTACGCATACCAATAGCTATACCCGCCCTCGTGCTTCATAGACAATAAATAAGTTTTGCACATGCATCAATTTAAGTGGAATATGGCTTAAAATAAATAGTTAAAAGTTAGATATGGTTAAAAATTCATTTTTGGACTTTCCATTTAAAATTGTTCAAATTAGATTTGGTTATACATAAACCAATATTTCATGCCACCTAACATTGAAAATTTTGGATGAAGACTTTAAAGCTCCCAAAACACTCACTGTTAACTCCCTGTTAAAAATTCAATTTTCAACATACTACATATAGATATATAGATTGTCTAACCAAACAAGAGGAGGGATACCTCCCCTCACTTCCTTTCTCTTTCCTTTATTTCCCCTAAAAACTAACACTCCCCTTTACTCTCTCCCTCCCCTCAGTCCAAACCATAATTGTCGGATTCGAATCGTGAATCGAAATGGTCTTGTACCGAATCGCGAATTGAATCGTATCGAATCATGAATCGTAAAGATTCTGCCACTTTTTAAAAATTATTTAGAAAAATATATTTACACACTTGGATGTTAAATATATCTTATGAATATGAAATATTTAGACTTAAATCAATGAAAATGTTGTTTTATATGATGATCACATAGTTTAATAGGTAAGAAATTAACAAAGGTTCCTATGTAAGATCAACATTTTACATTTTTTTAGATATTTCTTATCAACCATTCTTAATAAAACAAAGATAACTTTCAATTTCCAAAGTAAAAATAATTTAACAATGATATTGATATTTAGACAATAAGCATACATACTTTTTTAAGTAACAATGACCAAATAATAAGAAAAAATTATTTAGGATCTTTTATTTTAAAGCCTAAAATAGTTTAAAATGAATAACTAACCTCACCCATGTAATATTTAACTATATTTAATTTAATAAAATAACAATATATAATTCATGGTGTAAATTACTTTAATCTTAAACATTTTTACAAGATATATAATGATTTTTTTTAAAGGAAAAAAATGAGAAGAAAAACATGTTGGGTTTGACCGAATCTGATTGGATCTTATTAAAAACTCCATGATCATAATCACTAAAATAACAAAAAATCATGTACATATATATTGGTTATTTTGACACTAAACGCTATTAGAAGTTGTATTATGTCATTTTTATTGAAAAAATGGAGAAAAAAATAGTCGAAAATATGTCGGCCACGATAGTTTCAAGAATTGCACGAATCATAAAAATCAAATCGTGAATCCATTGTGAATTGTGCGATTCACCAAAGATTTACTTCCAAAATATATTCACCCATAAATTCGTATCGATTTTCCAAAAAATGCGAATGGAATAGCGAATCGTAAGATTCTGATAACAGAGGTCCACACTAAGAACCAACAGGTAGCCTCGTTTCTTTAAGTTGGATGAGAATCATTATGAGTGCGGTAGGATTTAGTGAGAAGATTATTAATGTGGTGGCATTAGTTTGGAAATGTATGCTATAAGTGTGTTTGTTTGTGTACTAATGTGGTTGTATTAGTTTGTTAGGATTAAATCTTATGTGTATTGGGTTACGCTTTCTTCTTGTCTCTATAAACCCTAACCATTAAACCCTTCATTGCATTCATTTGCTTCACCCTATGCCCTCTTTAGAGGCAGAGGTACAACATATCAACTTGATATAGTAGTGAAACTATATGTATGTTCAGGTACTATTAGTTCTTCATTTTCAGTTATGTGATTTCCTTAGTTCAATGCTATTTTTTTCGCTAGTTAATTAGTCTCCAATGTTAATTGTGTTCATTGTTTGTGTATCCAGATTGTTACCAACCTACAAATGTAGGCATTTTCCACAATATTTTCTCTTTCTTGGAACCCATCACCAATCATATTCCAGCACAGCAAATTGTGCGCAAATTTTATCCAATGGCACAGAGAAAAAGTGCAAAGAGATTGATTTCGAGTTGCTATTCCAGTCATGCACCAAAACCCACCTTGCTAAGCGCCTTTATGCCCTTCTTATTGTGTCAGGGAAAGTTCAAAGATTCTTCGTTTCTACTAGAGTTGTCAATCTTTATGCATTCTTAGGGATGTTACTTATTCTCACCGCACTTTCGATCAGATCCCAAAAAAGGATGCTTATACCTGAAATTCAATGTTATCCTCCTATGTTTGCAATAATCGCTTCCATGAAGCTGTCAATTGCTTATGGAAAGTGTTATTGAACTCTGAAGTTAGGCCTAATTTTTATACTTTTCCTCCTGTGTTGAAAACTTGTGGTAATTTATTTGATGGGAAGAAGATACAGTGCTGGGTCATTAAATTGGGTTTGTATGGGATGCCTTTGTGGCTGCTTCTTTGGTGCATATGTATTGTCGCTTTGGCAATCTCGTTGCTGCCCATAAAATATTTAGTGATATGTCATTCAGAGATAGGAGTTCTTGGAACGCTATGATTTCTGGGTTTTGTCAAAATGGGAATGTTTCAGAGGCATTGGGTGTTTTGGATGAGATGAGATTCGATGGGATGAAGATGGATCATCATTGTTTCAACTATTCTTCCTGGTTGTGCACAAATGGATGATATTTTTCAGGGATTGCTGATTCATTTATATGTCATAAAGCAGGGGTTGAAGTTTGATGTGTTTATGTCCAATGCATTGATTAACATGTGTTGCCAAATTTGGCAACATCTGGCAAGCACAGAAGGTTTTTGATCAAATGTTCGTTAGAGATTTGGTGTCATGGAACTCAATAATTGCTGCATATGAGCAGAATACTCATCCAGATACTGCACTTAAGTTCTTTGGTGAGATGCAGTCAAATGGAATTCAGCCTGATGTGTTGACACTAGTGAGCTTGGTTTCCAGTGTTGCTCAGTCTAGGGATTGCCGAAGTAGCAAGTCTATTCATGGTTTCATCATGAGGAGATGTTAGATTCTGGAAGATGTTGTTGGAAATGCTGTCATGGACATGTAGGCAAAGTTAGGTATTGTTGATTCTGCACATATAGCTTTTGAAGAAATTTCTTTAAAGGATGTGGTTTCATGGAACAAGATGATTACAGGTTATGGTCAAAATGGTCTTGTAAGTGAGGCTATTGAAGTATTCTGCACAATGGAAGCGTATGAGGATGTAACCCCAAACCAAGGGACTTGAGTAAGCGTTTTCCCAGCTTACTCTCACATCGGAGCCTTGAAACTGGGTATGAGAACTCACGGGCGTATTTTAAAAGCTAGTCTTCACTTGGATATCTATGTCAGTACTTGCCTCATCGACCTGTATGGAAAATGTGGGAGATTAGATGATGCAATGTCCTTGAATGTGTGCACACATGCACGCAAACCGAGGACCGAACCTAAGGCATTGAATGCCACTCTACCAAAACATGGCAAGGATGAAGCATGGCATTCAAACATGTAATTTTCAGCACTGAAACATAATGCTAAATGGTCTCAAAACATGGAAATATGGCACCCGATGCATGGAATAAGCCCCGAAACTCAATAATAGGCACATGCATTGAACCACAAGTATACAAAGCAAGCATTATTTGATCATGAAGTCTAAAGACAAAACCAAGGCCATCCCAAAACATACACATTTCTAGTTTAGAGCATGGCCAAAAGATGCTAAAATGATAGACTAAAATAGCATGCAACATTGACTAGCAAACATGGTTTATATGGCATGTATATGAAGCAAATGAGAACTCACCAAACCAGCCAAAAACAGTGAATAAAACATGCCAAAATATGCCCAAATAATCACTAAAATGCAGCCAATGCATGTAAAAATGAGGGGCTCCTTTGGAAGGCCACTCAAGGGGTTGTTAAGCACATACAAGATAGACACTTAGAATGACCAAACCAACTCTAGAAATAAGTTATGAAAGCCCTAAAACTCACAAAATTGGCCCTGAAATCAGTCTAGGAAACATGCCAAGAAAGGCCTCCTCAAAAGGTCTTGAATGGAATTGTTCTACATATGCATTGTAGGTATAAAAAATGGCCAAAAGGGCCCCAGATAGACCTAAGGCAGACCCTAAAACTCACAAAATTGGACCCAAAAAGTGACTTCAATGCATGCAAAATAGGGTCCCTTTGGAAGGCCCAAAAGATCCCCAAACAAGACAAGGAGAGAGGGGGTCACCCCCCTCTAATTTTGGCCCTAAAAAATGTATCCAAGCCACTGAAAATCCACTGGATTTCAGTGGCTAAGAGGCCAAACCATGGCCAATGCAAGTGCTCTAATACATAGCCTTAATCATGAAGAGATGAAGCATGCATAGGGGGAAGATGACCCCAACCAGAAATAGGACCTTAACAAAACTTGAAGAAGAGCTCAAAACAAGACTTTTTCCAGTTCATAACAAATCTCTAAAATGTTCACAAGTAAGGCTAAAGTATGATGCAAAAATAGCCCTAAAAGAGAGATTGAACAAACAAGGACGTAGATGACTTCAAACAGTAAAGTACCCTTAAACAAAGTTGAAGAAGTGCTCAAAATAAGTCACTTTACAGTTTATAGAAAATCTCGAAAGTGCTCACAAGTAGGACCAAGATATGATGCAAAATAGGCCTACAAAGAGGAGTAAAACATGCAAGGATGTAGGAGGCCTCAAACAGAAAAGTGTTCTTAAGAAAACATTAAGAAGAGCTCAAAATAAGACTATCTTCAGTTTACACCAAGGCTCGAAAATGCTTGCGAATGGAGCTAAGATATTGGGCAAAATAATGCAAAAATGGGGGAAATGAGGATTTACCCCTGAAGAGCCGACCTCCAGCAGCTTTTGGACCAAGTTGATGAGCTTCCAACCTCTGCAAATGGCTTCCAAGGTTCTGGAATGGATGATGGAGGTGTGGTGCTAAGGGTTATAGTGTAAATGGACCAAGAAAGTTAGGGTTTTAGAGCTTGGAATAGTAGCAATGGAGGTGAGAGGCTATGTGCCTTGGCCAAAAATGTCTAACCAGCTGAGATGAAGAGGAGGGCCTCTCTTATAGAGAAGAGAGGCCAAAGCTTCTCTTAAAAGCTTCAAAGATCCTCCATACACGTGTATGGAGGATGTACCAAATGGTCTCCAGCTGGCACAGCTGGATTACACTCAGAAAGGGCAAAAGCAATAAGCAGGCCGGCCAGTTCAAGTGGCCGGCCGGCCACTCCCCCTGGTCGGCCGACCAGGGGTCAAAAGGTTCAAGCAAAATTGCTGGTCGGCCTACCCAGAAAGGTGGCCTCCTAGATGAGTAGAATACAGCTGTATGGAGAAAAACCAGAAAATGTGACCCAAGAGAGAGAAAAGCTAGCTTTTAAGCAAGGTTCAAAAGGGTCAAGGTGAATTTATGGCCGGCCTACCCATATTGGTGGCCTCCCAGATAAGTAGATCGTAATAGTGGTATGAAAAGCCAGAAAATGTGGCTCAAAAGTGAGAAAAACCAGCTTTCTGTCAGAAAAACCGGCTTTTGGAGAGAGAAAATGAGAAAACTGGCTTTTCAGGGGAAAAGGTGGCCGGCCACCATCCTACCACCTTCCTAACAATGAAAATAGGGTCTCTACCAAAAATGGACCAAAACAGACGCAAAACGAAGGTTCGGGGGCCAAAACGTGCGGTTCGGGGCCCCGAAAACAGGCTGTTAGGCACCGGAAGTGGCCTATGACCACGAAGGTCTCCCGGGCCACAGTGTCCCTCTAAAGGGAGGAAATAAGGTGTGTGACAAAAATCGGAGCAATCGGAGGTAGCTAAGCGGTCCCGAATCGAGGCACACGGCTGACGGCTCCGAAAATCGGAAACCGGGCTCCAAACAGAAAAAATGGCCTACGACCACGAAACGTAGCCTATGGCCACTGAGAGATGGTCTACGAGACCTCTCCCTCCCTTCGGGAAGAGAAAACAGAGAAAACAGGACTTGGTTCGCAAACCGAGACAAAGCACAAAAGAGCTCCGAAGTCCGGAGGCAAGCCTCTCAGCCGAGACTCCGCAACTTCAGAACGAGCACAATATGCAACATCACCGAGCGCTCAATTGGTGACGTCTGAGTCTAAAGGTTGGTAAAAAATGGGGTGTCTACAATTGCCCCTCTTTGACAGAACTCGGAAGTCACACGTGACGGGAGTGAATGTCAAAGCCCAGAGACGACCCATTTTTGACGAAGCCAAAGACTTAGACAAAACATACAAGATAACAAAGATGTGCCCGCAGGCATGCCCGTAGGCAGGGGCAAAATGCAAAATGATATGCACAAACCCGGATATAACTCATGATCATGCAAAGCAGCAAGCTGTAATGAAGCGCACACGCAACAGTTTTAAGCAAGAATGCAAAGCAACAACTACATTTCATGCAGTTTAAGAATGCGGAGAATCGTTCGATTCTCGCTATGTCTCACACGGAGAAGATACAATACCTGCGCGATTTGTCTGGTCGCCCCAGCTCCAAATGAACCGTACATACAATATCGTGCCTGAAAGAGGAAGAAACTTGACAAGTACAACATAGTTAGCAACACATGTTCAACACTACTTCGAATGCAGACGAACAGGGTGCCGATGGGAAAGTGCATTGCAATGTAAGAGATACGCACGTAACAACGCAAGCTAAGCATGAGGGTATAACAATACCAATGAAACGTGCACAACAATGCAAGTGGTATGCATGAGAATGCAAGTGACGTGCATAACAATGCAAGATAAGTGCAAATTCGAATGCATGTTTGGCGCGAAACAACGAGCAAAGAAATGCAAGTTTCGACGAGTGCAATTTAATCGCGACCTCCGGTTTACCTCCCGGAAGGGTCACAGCATACTCAAAAAGGATACATCTTGCTCTTGACGAGTGACGATGAAACACGCATCGAAAGTTGGAGTTGGAGTTCCCGCGGAGGGATTTCGCGACGAAAAGTGCACTTTCCTTGTACTTTCTCGAGTCCCGGGGACTCCAA